TTTTCAGAAAGCATCAACGTTGCAGTGTATGTAGTACTTTATCAACAATCAATATCATTTATACATGATTTAACAATAACTTTCGTGAGAGAACGTTCTTTAGGGTTTCGAGATCTTTACTTTCAACCAGTAGATTATTAGGCCCAGAATAAGTATATTAGAGATATTACTCAAAATTTTTTGGAGTAAACTGTTTGGCTTTCCATCAAAAGGAGAACCGCTAAGACAAAATCAACAATTTTTTCAGCTCTTCTAACGACTATCCATAGAAGCGCGATCGCCTGCTGTGCATCGCACATCTGGTATTGTAAATTGCGTCGACATTGCCATGCTCTTGGCATTTGTTTGTAGGATACATGTAATTTTTCAACATTTCACTGTTATTCTAGTGAAATGAAGCTGAGAGAACAAGTGCTGACTACTCCAATCCCAATAGCAAATTATAAATAGAATACTTGTAGCTCTTTGCATTTAGGGTGTGCATAAAACGGAAGTAATTCTTATTACCAGCAACAATCCCAATGTGAGAAGTCAGAAGCAAGATTAAACAACTTTGCGTACCTCATTCGGGAACGGAATCCTCACAGGGGATGGACGGAAGTTACGCTTTATCGTGTTTCCATTTGCGCCTTCTGGGCTCACATTAAATTTCGCTATTCTCGCAGCTGCTGTACCTGTGGGAATCTCCTGAAGCAGTTTTAATAAAACATTGCAGTTACATACTTATTGAAATGCCGTACCTGCTTAAGGTCTTCAGCGCTAACTTTTAAGCTCTTTTCATCAAAAGCAGCATCAGGTTTCTCTTCCTTTTCAGGAGACTTTCTAAAAGAACGAGGAGAGTCTGGTTCTGGAGTTCCGTACTCGGAACCTCTACCGCCTGTGGGAGTTAAAAATCTAAAAGGGATTGCTAGGCTTCAATAAAATTCTGTGGTGGGAGTTTACCTTTCATCATCAGACGGTTCCAGCTGATAGGGCGACCTGGGCCTTTGATAGGCAACACTTTTCTTAGGAGGATCCTTTTTAGGAGGGATGTAAGCTGTAGATGGAGCTGGTTCAACTATTTTAACACTCTTCTCTTTCAAGGATTCATCCACAATCAGGCCACTTTTGTCAACGGTAACCGTTTTGCGCAAACGGA